TCTCGATTTATGTGTGTCATCCTTGCGCAGGGTCCATGCTAATCTTCTCTTTGTCTCGTTCCAATTTTAACGGAGTTCCCGGTGGACTGGGGAGACGAAATTGAACGAGGGCCGAAGATGGGTGGGTAAATGGTCGCACGAAAGGGCGGGCAGTGTTCAAGCTCTGTGCGACGGCCGTGAGAATGTGGGGACCTGTGTGTAGGGGAGGCATCACGCACACAGGGTTGCTGGAAGGATGGGGAAAGATTATCTATTGTGTGTTTCATGTCTTTTTTCAAAAGTAGAATGAATCTTCTGCTAGAACATAGCACGATACACGACCATAATTTTTGTCTTTTGTGCATTTGGTGAGTGGTGGCGCAAGGCCCGGTCTCTTGCGACAAAAGGGGCAACGGGCTCCGCTTTCAAATCTCTTGCGACAAAAAGCGCAAGGGGTTCCGGTTTCAGAATCGATCTTGGACCCATCCCATGTTCCTGAATGGCACACACATGCAAAGTGTTCACAAACAGGTCATGAGCTCAAGTCCTATTGAAATCAGGTTGCTTCAATAAGGTTACAGGCTACGCCTTTTCAAGAGAGAGAGAATCGTTCTCGGCAATCCCAAGGAAGTAGAGAAATTTCAACCTCGTTCCAACGTTGGATTCAGCCCTTGGACAACGTTTTTGCCCCCAACGATAAACATGTTATTCGTTAAAACAGTACATTATTGTGTGTACTGTTTTGAAACGAATTTATGACGCTGTGTATTTTCTGGTGTAGTATTCCAGATCCGGACACATCCGAACCAGGACTAAAATCACCTTTGAGTCCGAGGAGCGCAGTCTATACACATATCGACTGCTCTCCTCGGACTCCAAACCGGCTTTACTCCTGGTTCGGATGTGTCCGGATCTGGAATACTACAGCAGAATATACACTGCATCATAGTTGCACTTGGAGTCAAGCATCAGACTCATCCGAATCAGAAGAGTATAATGACTTCAACTCGAGTGTGTGAGGAGCACAATGAGTTGAAGCTCTTCACAAACTTAGAGGAGTAGGATGACTTGTGTTTAGGAGTGTGAGGACCAGAGTGCATTGGAGTTCCGAACCGATGATTGTGTACATTTGAAGAGAGAGCGAGAGAAAGAGAGATACAGAGAGACAGAGAGAGAGACAGAAAAAGAGAGACGCGACACATGAGGCGCAGGGTCGAATAACACGCGTAGACCATTAGCCTCGCTTTTAAAAGCATTTTAGATGAAAGTTGGAGAAGAGCAGCAAGGTAATGTGATCGTCGAGGGAAGCGACATTCGAATGTATCCGAGATGACAGGAGAGAGAGAAAGTCTGTAGCAAACGGCAAATCAGCACGCCACGCAGCCGAGAGATTGAAAAGACAAGCATTGTACCATCATCCACCAAGTTCATGTTACGGACGGATCCGAAGTGTTGAATAAACAGAGTCGCTTTAGTCTTTTACACCTGTGTTTGTTGGGGAAACGGTTCAATCTACCATTGATTCCAGAAGCATTTTGCGCGAAACATAGGCCTTGTCCAATCATCCAATTTTGTATTGTTCAGTAGCGCTAGCTCAATTCAAATTTCGTCACTTTCTTAGTACACATCGACTTCGCCTTTCGGGGTTTCCTTCCCTCACTACAATCATTTTTTTCAAAAGTATTGTCCGATGCACAGGAATCCCTTGTTTGAAGGCTCATGAAGACGGGGAGCCTTGACGGGACAAAGAATGGACAACATTGAATGTTGGAAGCAGAAAGCACCGAGAACAGAGGCCATACGTTTTCTTTTGCGGGGTCGAAAAACACGCGGAGATAACAAGCCTTCTATGACCGGAAAGGGTAAGCGAAGGTCGGATGCATCCGATCATGACAGAAGGAACAGAGAGAGACATACCCCCTTAGCAAACAGCAAATGAGCACTCAATGAAGCCAAGAGATAGAGAAGACAAACATCGTACCATCATCCACCACAACTCATGTTTCGGATGCGTCCGGTGTGTTGAAACAATACAGTGGCTTTATGCCTGTGTTGGTTGGTGCAAGGTCTAATCCACAATTGATTTTAAAAGCTACTACCGAGAATTGAGGCCCTGTCCAGTAGCGCTGGCTTAATTCAAATTTCGCCACTTTCTAGTACCCATCGGCGCCGCCTTTCGGGGTTTTCTACCTTCACTACGTCCAGTCTCTTCATTATATTGTCTGAGGCATAGGAATCCTTTGTTCGAAGGCTCATGAAGATGGGGAGCCTTGACGGGCCAAAAAATGGACACCATTTAATGTGGGAAGCAGAAAGCAAGACCATGCGTTGTATTTTGCGGGGTCGAAGAACACGCGGAGATCACAATCCTTGCTTTTGAAAGCACTGTGGATGATAGTTGGAGAAGAGCAGCAAGGTATGTGACAGGAGATGATAAGCGAAGTTCGGATGCATCCGAGATGACAGGTGGAAGAGAAAGAGGTAGTCGCAGCAAACGGCAAATGAGTACTCCACACTGCTCTTAGATCGACAAGACAAGCATCGTACCACCACCCACCACAATTCGTGTTTCGGGTGTGTACGATGTGTTGAATCAATTGAGTGGCTTTATGCCTGTGTTGATTGGGGCAAGGTTTAATCCACAATTGATTTTAGAAGCTTTCTCTCGGGAATTGAGGCCCTGTCCAGTAGCACTAGCATAATTCAAATTTCGTCACATTCTAGCACCCATCAGCGCCGCCTCTCGGGGTTTCCTACCTTCACTACATCCAGTCTCTTCATTTTATTGTCTGAGGCACAGGAATCCCTTGTTTGAAGGCTTATTAAGACGGGGAGCCTTGACGGGCCAAAGAATGGACACAAGGAAGCAGAAAGCAAGGCCATGCGTTGTATTTTGCGGGGTCAAAGAACACGAGGAGATCACAATCCTCGCTTTTGAAAGCACTGTGGATGACAGATGGAGAAGAGCAGCAAGGTATGCGACAGGCGAGGATAAGCGAAGTTCGGATGCATCCGAGATGACAAGAGGAAGAGAAAAAGATAGTCGCAGCAAATAGCTAATAAGCACTCCACACTGCTCCTAGATCGACAACACAAGCATCGTACCATCATCCACTTCAATTCGTGTTTTGGATGCATCCGATGTGGTGAATCAATAGAGTCGCGACAATCTTTCCCTTATGTTGTATGATGCATAAGATTCAATTTTGTGAAGGGTCATGAAGACAGGGACCCTTGACGGGCCAAAGAGTTGTCCGTAACGTCGGACTGGATATGCAAACAAATAATGTGAAGAGGCCCGTGCTGTGTATTGGGCACTCTGTGATGCCTTAAAACCATCAAAATGGAAATGTATAGACGAGCCGAGACCATAAAAGATAGAACAAGGAGTTCGGATGCATCCAAGTATGTGGACAGAACATCATAAACATCACACCACACAAGACATGAAATGGCCAAAGTTAGGAAGACAATTACGAAATAGGCGCATCAACAACGCCGTTACAACGGGGATGTTGGTCGAAATCGAGAGTCAATTTAGAATAATGTGGAGTACAAACACGCCGGGACGTGACAATTCCACTCGGAGATATCCTGACAGCATCAGCCAGTTTAGCTCTAAACCAATGCGATAACACCTACCAGACTTTCATGAAAAAGCACCAGGAGAAAACAATATGGGTAGATGAACGAAATGTTCTTGTACGCCAACCCTTCTAAAACACGTAACCAACGAACAGGTAGACGCTCAACTATCAACACTACAAATCGCCAAAGCTAGTCTGCATCTGATAGACGAGATGAGCCCATGGGAGAAATCGAAAGGTGGGCGCAAACCTTTCGCTAAACAGGAAGCGAACATCAACATAAAGACCCCACAACTAGCCCCGTCCTACTGTTGAGGGACACCTTTCATGCGGACTTCACATTTGAAGTGGTCGAAAGTCCGAGCATCAGTGGTGGAACTTGCCACCATGTTCAAATACTTAACAATGTTATCGAATAGTTTGGAATAGAAGTCATCTTTAGATGACGAACAGGAAAACGAGTCGAAAATCTCCAAAACACATCTAGAAAAGTCAATTGCCAAAAGGCTCCAGTGTGTGCCGTCCTTGTGCACTGGTGCCAACACTGCCAAGACGAGGTCTTGAGACAGGACCTCGCAGCAGTAATGTAGAGGCGAAGAAAGAGTTAAAGGTGTACGTCTTTGTGGCAGAGGCAGTCCTGCTGCAATCGTCCAGTATCATCGCCATGTAGAAATTGACAACCTCATCGTTGAGCTCCCCGTATTTATCCATGAGTGTGACGATGTCCTTGACCGAGACCTGTAAATTGCGTGACGGCAAACGCCCAGCGAAGAAAGTGAGCGGCAACCGAGAGCGGATAACGTCTTCAAGGACTGCTCTTCAATCTCGAGGAAACCCTGTTCAAGAAACACCCACAGCACACAGCAAGCACAAAGGACGGAGGCTATGAGAAAATGCCCCCCTAGGGACCAGGGTCCGACGATCTGCCATTCTGCGGCCCAAAAATTCCACGCATAACATCACCCCTACTTCTGGATCTTCTATACACAGTTGATCTTGAACTAGCATTGTCCTTCTTTATATCCTTGCATGCTTCGAGAAGGATCGCCTTGCAGTCCTTCTCAGTGACACCCGCTGCCTCTGCAACGAGTTTCGCGCGAGGACCTACTATGGGCATGACCACCCGCACGGGTGGCCCTCGAGGCTTCTTGTCCCCATCATAGGAATAGGCGACATCGCCACGTCTAGTGCCACCAGCAACCAAGACAAACAACTTCGCGGGCGCAACCTGCTCCTCCGACATGCGCGTTTCTCCAGGAGTCCGTCGACCTATACAAGAAATAGCACACCATGTCCGATTACAATAAGCGCCGGTCAAGATAACCACCGTACTTCGTCAGTTAGCCTTTGACAACACAACTTCGCGACAGTTACGAAGCACACTGCACCTGACGAACCCCACCGGTAACGTTCAGTCGGCGGCTGTTAATACAACTTCAGGAAACCAACGAAGCAAACGGGTAGACAAGCTGGAAGCAAGCGGAGAAATTGAGTGCTTACCAGGCTCAGGTTCCACGTCAGCAAAGTCCACCGCCGGTAGTCCCAGCATGACTGGCAACCCTGTGCACGTCGACGCCGCGACGACGTGCTCCAGACCTCCCGAGAAACTTGACAGGTTTGAGATGTCGGCGTCAACGATCGGAGACGTCATAACTGCTTCCCGATGGCGCAAATCCTCCGCACCCACGACGGACAATTTTGTTCCGCTTTCTTCGGACTAAGAGAGTCGAGGTCTACAACATGAACAGGTTGTGTTTTCTCCATAGCCCAGTGTCGTATTGTGTCGGGCTCAAGGTTCCATGGACGTCCAACAACACTTCATCCACCCCGATCTTCTTGTCCTCGTGCGCAGTGTCTTTGTCGTCGTCACTTACATAGAGCAAACCGTCTTTAGCAGCGTCGGAGGCCTTCTTCAGATTATCCTCTCCTATAGCCTCTTCGTGAAGGCCGGAGTATAAGGGGTCCTCGTAAGGCGGCATGACTCGTTGGCTCAGCTAGACGGCCGACATCTGATATCCTGAACTGTCGCGGGGCATGCTCCCGTCGCTGTGCTTCGGATAAATCCGAGCCTCGGCGGAACGCAGTGGAGAGGACCCGTCCGCTTTGCCGGAAGTCGTGACATGTCCACAGTCCTCGACGCCGACCAGTTCGATCCCATCGTCTGTCTTCCATGGATGCATCCGAAGTACGGAGATCTCCAGAGCACCATCATCGGTGGACATGCTCACGTCGACTAGGTCCGGATTCACCCGAGTCCCCTCGGAGCCTGTTGGCGCGGACGTGTCTGTTCTGAACTATCCACAACCCTCGACGCCCACCAGTTCGAGCCCAGCGTCTGTTTGCTTCGGATGAATCCGTATTACGTCGGACTCCAAAGCACCAGCATCGATGGACGTGCTCTCGACTCCCAGGTTCGGATTCATCCGAGTCCCCGAGGAGTCTATTTTCGTGGGCATGTCCGTTCTAAAATGTCCACATCCCTCGACGCCCACCAGTTCGATCCCGACGTCTGTCTACTTCGGATGCATCCGAATTACGTCGGACTCCAAAGCACCACCGTCAATGGACATGCTCTCATGTCCCAGGTCTAGATTCATCCGAGTCCCGACGGAGTCTGCCGGCTCGGTCGTGTCCTCTCTCACCATAGAGTCGCGTGCAACAGCCAATGAAGCGCATACGGTAACAGGTCATTCCTCTTCGACTGTGCGGGACTCAAGAGTGGAACTGGGAGCTAACTCACTCTCAAGGGACTTCATGGCCTTGTCTTGACCTCCGACTTCAAATGACGAACGGTCACCCTGAAGTTCATTGGGGTTTTCCGTGCACAACATCTCTGTCTCCTTACACCAATCGGCTGTAGTAGTTGACACGTCCTCCTGCTCCGGATTACTCCTTATCGGGTCGACGGATTTTCCTGTCTTGAAGGAAAGGGCCTCCAGGTTCGGATTAATCCGAGTTTGCTCATCCGGAGGAACGGAGAATGGTTCCTGGTTGTCGCAGTCGGAGCCAAGGTATGTCGTCGTCTCGCTGTCTACGGGACGCTGAGTTCCGGACAATGATGTCGTTTTCGTGGATCGGATTAATCCGAGACAAGACTCGAATTGTGTCCGGACCTTCGCAGGGCATGTGGCGGAAATATGTGTCGCACAGGTGGAGCTAATTACGGAGTCCTGCTCGCCAGGCCGCGGAAACTTCCCAGGCGTGAAGTCATTTCCCGTCTCGATTGAGGTGCTGCATGTTACTGCCAATGTCGCACCGTCGTCATCCTCGTCGACGTTGGACCCCTGCCCGTCTCCGCTGTGATGCTTTTTCTTCGCTCCGCTGTGAGGCCTTCTTTTCTCTCCGCTGTGGAGCTTTTTCTTCTCTCCGCTGCCCTTTCTTCCCTCTCCGCCGCCTTCGCGCTCCGGAGACCGCCGTTTCGACGAGCGCGGTTCACTTCCCCCCCCGGATCCGCGGCGACCGCCACCATGACCATCCCCTTCGTCGTCTTTTCTGCGAGACTTGCGCTTCACAGCTTCAGTCCTCGGCGTGATCGAAGGCAACTGCCAACTTACGCTGTTTAAAGACGGGCTCGACGGAAGGCTGTAAAACGGGGCGGAGCATTCCAGCCATTTATTTGTCTGTAGAAAGTCGAACAAAGTGTCCGCGTATGACCGGAGAGCAGGGTCGTCCTTGTGTTTCCCATTGACCTCAACCAATCTTTGCACTACTGCCTCGTAAGCGCGAACTTTGAAAACATCAAGGTCCCAGCGATCGTCGTAATCCCACCCGCCTGCGACGTTCCTCGCAGCCACTGCCCATTCACTGTTAAGGAGGACTGGCTGGAAATGGTCAGGGTGCCACACGATATCATGGCCCCAATCTTCGGCTTTTGAGAAGGTGTGCTTGTCGCCCAAGTGGTACGGCCTTGTAGGATGCAGCAGATGCGGATGGCCAGGAGGAACTTGTTGGCCGGGTTGTAGACGTCCGGGGAGCGGTGTGATACGTAGTGACTCCCCCAGCGGACTCGTTAGACGGGATAACCCACCCCTCTTGACAGACCCTGCGGAGGACAGAGGTGTGGGACCGCCTGAGGTGGGTGTACTGAGCGGTGTCCGCGGTTTGCATACAGAGGGCGACTTGGAAAGGACTTGGGCGTTGAAGATGGCTAATTGGCCGTCGAAATCGAAGAGGTCGTCCTCAACGCTCTCCTCCTTCTCGGTCTCGATATTGAAGTCATCGTCCTCGCCAAATGCCAGCCTGTACTTGTCCAAAGTGAAGTCGGCCGGATCGTGCACGTCCACTGCGTTGGTCCCACTCGCCCCGTGGTGGCCCTGGAGGCCAGCAACGCAAACTTCCTTTCGCCTCACGTAGTCCTCGTCTACTCTCCACTTCGGTGTATTCCCGAAAAGAAAGGAGTAGACTTGGCGCCTTTTCTTCGGAGTCAACTTGAAGAACATGTCCTTATTCGGGTCATATTCCGGCTCCATGGTGACTTGGTGGAAATCACAATCGTAAGCCTCGGACGTGACTTCATGGGCAACAAACTGCACGGTGTATTCCAGTTGCGCCGAGTCCCCCTCCACCGCCAAGACGTGCCTTCCGCTCTGAAGCAGATTCCACACCACCTGAGCGTGCGGCTTGCCCAGGAACAGCACCGCATCCGCCGCAGCACAGAAGAAATGAAGACGACTGCATAACTGAAAAGGATTCCTCTCCCAGTCCTTGTACATTGTCCCCCGCTGGGTGAGGTTTCCAATATCGGCAAAATACAAACACTTGAAAGGGTGCTCCACGACATCCATAGGTGTCACTTTCTGTTTCCTCCGAAGAGCGGCGGCATCATCTTCGGCAACAGCTCCCTCGTACACCGGTTGAGTCAGCAGCAACGGATCATCACCTTTGAAAAGGATGTGCATTACGTTCGACTTCTCCCACATGCTGTTACCAAACTGATGAGTCTTCTTCACTTGTGTCTTGCGTACCCACTTCCCCGTGTAGCATCGGGTTGCCCGAAGCGCAGACAAAGATGCCATGAAGGAGAGGTTCCACAGGCACGGGACGAATACCACCAATGTCCAGTAGTCGTGACAAACGATGCCGAGGAACTCACTCAGAGACGCGAATGCTCCCGCATCCCAACGCGCCTGATCCACAGTTCCGCTCAAGTCGAGCACGCAAGTGTGGGAGCGTAACTGATGTGCAAGTTTTCTTAGCGCGTCCTTATGATCCAAGGCATTCAATGGGTCGACGACAAACGAAGCTAGCATCGTCATGGAGCTTGTCTTCCTCCAAAAAATGTTTGTGCATTGATCAATGCCTCAAGGACTTCTTTTGGCTTGCATGCGATCTCCTGAGGGCACTTATTGACGTAGGTGGTGTTAGTGAAAAATTCCCTGCACTCATTCCAAAGCTTGTCGTCAAGACCTTTGTCCGCGAACTCTTCAAACAATTTTCGCTTGGACCTGAAGAATGAGGATCTTACATTCCATTGCTCCTTTCCCATTTCCTCGTGCTCAAACTCCACGTAGTGCCACAACCTCAGCATAATCCGGTCGATTTTTATTATGTCGACCATCTCCTTGACACTGAACTTCCCCTGCTCGGCCAACTTCTTGTTACTCCCTTGAACCCACACGACGTTAAGGTTCAAGATGCCGTTCAACAACCTCCTCTTCTCGCGGTCCGTCAAGTCGGCCAATTCCTTCCAGCAGTGGACATCAGGTTCGGGAACTTGGACGTAGTAAGTTTTCTCCTCCCCACCTTTCTTCGGCTTGCCCTTGCCTTTTCTCAACGACGGGTCGTCCACCTTGACGTACCAGACATGTTTCTTCAGTCCCTGGCTGTCAGTCATAGTCGACAGTCCAGGCTTGGCCACCTCCTCGTGGGTCGGCGACTTTTCGGTCCAACGTTGGCTGTCGGAAGCCAAAAGCTTTCTTTTCAACCATTCCTCGTAGAACTTCTCCGCCAAATCGAAGACCAAGTCGTCAGCCATGGCCAGCGGAAGGTAGTACTGAAGTTTCTCGGCCCAGTCCTTTTTCTTCTTTGCTTCCGTTGACAGTCCCCACAAAGGGGTGTACGGTGTCTTCTTCATTGCTAAGGCCATGAACTGAGTCCATCTATGCACCTCCTCCTTTTTCTTGGACACATTGTCGAGCACGACATGCGGTTTCCCCCTTATTTTCCAGATATTACGAATGTCCTGCATGGACAAAATCTGCAACCTCGGTGGATTCTTCTTGTCTTTCAGGTTGTCTTCGCAGCTGACATGGGCGTAGCCGTCGAACTCGTCGTCAGGGAAGTAAATTGGTATGCATGGCCATTCATAGAAGGTGTAGTAATTGAACACCACATGGTCTTTCACCTTCATCACTGCCCTTGCATTATGCTGACCACACACAGGATAATACCAGTACTTCTCGGGGTGCGACGCGTTGAAGTCTTGAGGCAGCACACGCACAGCTGGTTTGTCCTTCTCCGGTGGCACGACGATCAGAGCCAGAACGAAAGTCGGCTTTGTATATCTCATGTCTTGACGTTCGTAGCAGTCGATCATAGCCGCCGCGATGGTGTCAACGAGGAACTCGTCCAAGGACCGGTGGTTGTACGCATCTTCCCTATCTGGAATATGCAAGATTCTTTCGGGATGGATGTGCAACACGACGTCCTTCTGCACCCCCGTCTTCATCTCCAGGAAGAAGGCGTTGTCGAGGTTAAATACATTGAGGTTTACTTCCACGTCTTCGTCCCCCTCCCCGGTCTCGCCCTCATCTCCTTTCTTCTCCTTCGCCGACTTCGACCTCTTCCCGGAAGACTCACCGGTTCTTCGCTGTGCCGAGGAGTCTTTCGGCATATCGTCCCCCCCTCCAACCCTTTTCCTTTTCTCCACAGATCCCCGCTCTTGTGTCGCCGGGGTCCGACCACTTCCTCCTTCCTTTCTTTGCCTTTTGTGAGTCGCTACTCCCTCCCCCGCTTCGTCAGCTGGCAAGTTCCGCTTTCCTCCCGACTGAGTCCTCTCAGGCGAGCTCTAACTAAACGGCCCCAACTCGAGTAGCTCCTCTTCACCGGCGACGTTCCCACCTGACTCTCGTTGTGGGCTCGTCTCTGTCTCCACTTGTAGTGGTGGAGGGAGGGCCGCCCGAGTCGTCTCGTCCGCCCGGCGCACCTGCCGAACCTGCGAGGTACCCGGTCGAACGCCCGTCGACAACTCGACCGCCTGTCTACCAGTCTGTTCCGAACGACGAGCTCCACTCGTCATGCCACAGACCAAATCATTGATCATCTCTGTTAGGCGACCGGGAGATTTCGATCCCGAGGCCTTTTCCAACCGTTCGCGATCCCCGCCTCCCAGCAACGACGAAACTGGCGACTCCCAAGCAAACCGTGCTAGCGAGATCCCTGCACGCCGGGTTTCTGAGGCGCACACGCATGCTCGTCCTCCGAGTCATCCGACAAGCCCACTCACGGATCAGGAGGCGTACGTGGCAGTCCGAGCTCGCCTCCCACAGGGTCTGCTCCCGCGAACCCAAAAGGACCTCTCATCGATGTTCCAGGGTCCACGTCCATGCCATCGCTAGGGCTGACTCTACGCGACCAGACCTCGAGGAGGTCTTTCACGTGGACGGCTTCGTCGTGGCCTGGCGCTAATGGGACAAAGAAGGGCAAAGCCATCACACGCTGGTCGTAACCCCCGAACATCTTCCCAGAGACATTGCATCCCTCTCCTACTTCGTCGACGGACCCATCGCTTCGGTAAAGCTTCCGCAAAGTAATTCGAAGAATGTCAGCGCCGACTTCAGTCCAATTGAGGAAGGACCCTGCGAGACGAATCGTATTTCCGCGACCGGCGAGGAACAAGACTGGCCCGCATCGAGGTTTCAAAGGTTTGGAAGCGTCCTGACAGGCCCAATCCACATACCAGATCCGCTTGTTGTAGTCGCACCACAAGCGTTGAGCACCTCTTGGTTCTTCCCCACTGAGACCTCCCCTACGGTGTTGCTCCCCCAGTGGACAGGAGCCACCAGCGGAGTGGCCTTCGTCGTGAGTAGCCATTATCTGAAACACGCAAAGCAATTGAACACACGTCTACTCAGCACGGACACACACAAGAATGTCCTCTAACCAGAGCACATGAGATGACCACCTTCCACCGGGGCCCGACAGACGCGAAGTTCACTGGTGGTTCGAAGTCAGTGGACCTCTCGCATAATCGCGAAGGCGAACAACTGCCAGCGTTGGATTAATCCGAGCCATGGAAAAGGCGGGACGTTATCGGAGAGAAAGTTCGATTGATAGAGAAGGAGGACAAATGCCAGCTTCGGATTCATCCGAACCATGGAAAAGGCAAGACGTTCTCGGAGAGAAAGTTCGGGTTAGTGAACATCACACTTATCTTCAGAGAACACAAGGTCGCACAGGAAAACGGATTTCCCACGGAGAGTTCTGATGGAAGTACGACGGCGAGAAAGTCAAAGTCATGTATGTTCACTCAGCAGAAGATCGTCGGAAGGTTCGGATGCATCCGAACTCGAGGGAGTGTTTAGTGGCAGCCAACTTCCAAAGACAGATTACTGGACCTCTGAGTTCCCTTCACCGTTGATGGTTCCGCCGGCGGTGTTTATTTCCGGCGTGGTTCGGATTCATCCAAACTCCACAGGGCAAAGGTCGATTTCAAAATTCGGAACGAGCAGTATCAGGGTGGTACCCGGGTGTGGTGCGGACTCATCCGAATTTGACACAGGGGTAAGTAGGGAGTTGTACCGGAGTCATGGGTCCAAGACTACCTCAGAATTCCCTACACTGTTGATGGATCCGTGAAAGGTTTGTACGCCCGGTGTGGTTCGGATTCATTCGAACTTCAAAGATCGGTGGTCGACGTCACTGGTGAGGTCGGATTCATCCCAGGGGATGCTTCAGTGTGGTTCAGATTAATCCGAGTCAGGGGTGTGCTGTCTGTGTTATCGGACACTTCCATGATGGCCGTCGTGGAGCGGTTTCATCCTGTTTTCGCCGGAATACGATGCAGCTGCCCAGTACGCAGCAGAACATTATCTATCCACAGTAGGAGGCCTGCAACGTGGCTTTCGCGCCCGGGTGTGGTTCGGATTCATCCAAACCAGACAGAGGCGCATCCGACCTGGCGGTTAGGATACGCGTCCAAGCGAAGAGTTGTGGTTCGGATTCATCCGGACTTGACAGAGGCACGTCCGACCTGGTGTTTCCTCGCCATTCCGTTAGATTCGAGCGTCGGTTATAAGCTGGGCAAGCTTCGGATTGATCGGAACCTGACAGTGAGGATGATCTCCATAGTTCGTTTTCGCCACAACAACCATCCGAGCAATTTGTTTTCGCAGGCTGTGGTTCGGATTCATCTGAAGTTCCAAGGACTGTGTGGGGATCATGGTGTGTTCTCGCCATCAAGGTCGAGAAAACAGCATGCATCCGAATTCGACGGAGGTATAGCGGATCCCATCGGCAGAAGCTTTCGTATACGAGGTTTGTTTTCGCCACTGCTTCCCACAGACCATGCGTCGAAGACAAGACCCATTTCGGCATAAAAGCCTATTTCGCTATGAGCGACACAAAACAGAATGGAAGCAGTCGTGCTGTCACCACACACGAGTTGTCGTCATCGCCCTTTGCCACGTCAGCGAAGAGTTTGGCTCATGTCAGCGCGGCGGTTGGCTGACGGGTCGTTTCATCGCGTCATCAATATTTGGGAGGCAATACCTTTCTTGGCTTCTTGGATAAGATCAAGTGTAGTATCTGTTCTGATCAGTTTAATATCTGATCCGTGGTCCATCTAGCGACATGAAAAAAAAAAGGAAAGGAAACAAAAAAAATTTGGGAGGTTTCGTCCTGTGTGCAATCACGCATATCGTGTCCCGAATCCTGTCAACAGATGGAGAGAGAGGCTATTTCGCTCTCTCATCTCTCGCTCTCACATTCTCTCGTTAGTGATCGTCTTTTCTTGTTCACTTCCTAACGTCTACCGCCTTGCCTCCGTTCCATCTATCCTCGCCCACAACCACAAGCCACTACCAGCGTCTGTTCATCTTTGATCTGGGTCGTCACTTACGCTAAAGACAACAGGGGCGAAGCAGGGAAATGAAGACGTGTGAACAGCTGGACAGTCGCTCCATCCATCGATCCTGCCACGGGGCGGGGAATAGAAAGAAAGAGAAAGCGACAGAAAATCAACATCGCCGAAGGTCCGCGTGGATATGGGTGAATAGAAAGGAAAAGAAAGCGACAAAAAATCAACATTGCGGAAGGTCCGCGTGGATATGGGTGGCATTGGCAAGAATGCTGGGTGTGCACTCTTTCGTCAGGAGAGAGGATAGGAATGCCCGAGGACGGTCGAGCACGTGTTTGCGAGGCTGCAAACAGACACGAGAGTTGGAAACAACTATGCATTAAAGGACACTTCGACTCTTTCTTTCACACGTGATCCAAATACCGCTTCTCGAACGTGTTGGATACATTCGCACGAAGTCCGCAAAGGGAAATGAAAAAGAGAAAATTAAACCTCGCCTTCAAGAACATTGAGTATAATTTCATATGACAAAGATAAGATTTGCTGCTCACTGCTTGTTGGAACCCCGAGTGCGAAGAAGAAAGAGACGAACGAAGAAGGGAAAAGAACTATGAACACAAATAAGACGAATGAAAGTGCCGAACGAATAAAAGACGGACGGAAAATACGAATGAACGAAACGCTCTTCGAACAGAAAAGTTAAAAAAAGAAGACGAATGGAAAAGACGAAAAGATCAGCGAAGAAGAAGAACATGCTCAAAGCGCGGAGTGAAACCTGCCAATCGTGCGATTGGTTCGACAAAAAACTTTCAAACGCGACAAAAAGGAAGGTAAGACTCGATTCTTACACACGTTCCGGTTCGAGGACAAGCACTCGCCCCGATCACACGGCCAGGTCACACGCCCCGATCACACGCCCCGATCACACGTCAGACAACCTGGAGAAAACATCCCGCTTCCAGGTGAGACTCGATTCTTTCACACGTCCTGGGTTCCTCAACGACCAATCGCCCCGATCACACGCCCCGATCATACGCCCAGATAACACGCCCCGATCACGCGCCCAGATAACACGCCCCGATCACACGCCCGATCACACGTCAGACAAGCTGGAGAGAAAACGCCACTTCCATCAAACGTCCTGGTTTCTTGACGACAACTCGCCAAGTACACATGTCCCGATAACACGTCCTCAACATTTGTGGGCACGTTGATGGATGCGGAATGGATGTGGGATGAATCGCTTGTCGACTGACATGTCACCTCATTGGTTTGTGGTTCTGTTCATCGACGGATATGGCAGCCAATCCATGCAAGGAATCACATTGCAAATACGTGAACCATCCGTCGAGAAACGATCCTAGAGAGAAAGACGCGGCGAGAGAGAGAGAGAGAGAGAGAGAGAGAGAGAGAGAGAGAGAGAGAGA